AAAAATAGCAATTTCGTTGAGATTAAAACGTTTCGATCCATAAAACTGCTAACTTCTTAGCGCAAAATCAAACTAAAGTCTGAGCACGGCCGGAATGAATAAAAAGTCTGATTAATTTGGAAGTACACCAAGATTTGCTTACTGGCAGCCAGAAACAGTGCAAAAAGACGCTTTTTGTTCAGCTAAGCTTGAGAAGTATCATTCATTGTCAGTCTTACTGGCATGCTGGTAATCAAGAAAAAGTCATGTTTTCTATAATAATGGTTTGTCTTTAGCAATTCATGCAGATGTTGCCTAAGACTACAGTTGATCCAGAAATTCCTTCTACTGAGCCAGGAAGGAGGAGAGGTAAGGGCGAGAAAGGAATAGGGCGGGGGAGAGGAAAGGGGGGAAAGAGAGGAGAAAAAGAACAATGCTTAACTGATGGTTTTTTCTCAGTGATCTGAGGGTTGCAGCTAAGAATCTTAGTAATTTTACAAAACCGTAAAAAGACGAGAAAATAGCTGGCACATGAAAACGTAGTGACCCTCCGTAACCGCATAAACAATTCGGGCTCTCAGTCAAGGGAGCTACTTACAGAATATCATTTCGACCACACGAGAAAGTAAAATCTATGGATCTGGACATATTAATCTCTTTGTCGACAATTGTTGTGCGTCACGTATTAGCCAAGGTAGTTAAGATAAAGCAAATGATTAAAAAAAATTGTTCAATATCTGGACCGGAAAAAGCTATAGGGTACTGCAATAAAAGAGTAGCTGATGAAATCAAAAAATATTACCAGATCAAAAAAGGCGATAATACCAATCAGAATGGCATTCTGGTTATGCAAGTTTCGATGAAATATCGTAGCAACGATGATGTTAGTATTACCGAATATACCCAGTACTATCAGTGGTATCATCAGATATGCAAAAATCTCCAGTTCTTCCATTTATTTTTTCATAAGACACTGTCTGCTGTTAAACCAAGAATACCAAAAACCGTCGAAACAGCCAACGTAATGACTGCATTTTAATAATGTCATCAGGCTGCTTTCATAAATCAGCTGCAATAATGCCAGACCTTTCGATCCAGAGTTGCATACCTCCAGTTAGTATTCATCGTCCATTCGAGAAAATGCACCGGTAAACATGAAATATATATCATCTAGCAAAACTTGTCAATTCGAATTGAGATGATACGTAAATCAGTAACAGTTTGGATGATCCTATGCCAAAAAACTGCCAAAACCGCCCGGATGATCGTGTTACCAGACTGTTTTACCAGACTGCTTCAACACTTCAGTTAAAATAATCTGAGACCTTTCGATATCGAATTGCATATCTCCAATACATATTCATTGTCTGTTCGGTGTATATGCACCAAGAAACATGGGTTAATAAAGACTGGGGTAATGGCAGGCTAGAAGTGATAAAGACTGAGCAATTGAGGATTAAATAAGACTCGACTGACAAGAAACAAGCACTAGCTGCAGACGTAATTTGTAAAAAAAATATTATTGTTTCACTCGCATTGGATAAAAAATAAATGAAGACGAACACTTCGATCCATTAAATCGCACACATTTTTTATACAATCCAAGTAAAATTTCTAGGTTCGATTTAAGGTATTGTTTATCCTGGATTTAAATAAAAATCGGGATGCCAGAATTTCTGTTATTATCAACTTGGAAAATAAAATTCTTG